ATATCTATCTATCTATCTATCTATCTATCTATCTATCTATCTATCTATCTATCTATCTATCTATCTATCTATCTATCTATCTATCTATCTATCAGGTTGAGACTGAGATTCGGGTGCTACGTGCAGTTTGTCTATTCCAAAGACGTTATAAATAGTACTATATTTGGTATAATCAGTTGAGTTGAGTTGAGTTGTTATCTCCCTTTATCTGTTGTGTTCCTATCCACCGATCGTAACTGCAGCCTTATTGTGCTGCAAGTGCTGTAAAAGGTTTACTAAAACAAAAAATATAGCCCGCCTCTGCTTATAAACAGCTTTGCGAGTTGTCTTTGATAACCTGTTTGGTTGGGTTTAAAACCGGGATTCGAATTTGAAGATGTTGTATACACTAGGTGTGTACGACAGGTCGCGATGAAACAATGAGCAGTGCCCACACTTGTGTTGAAGTGTCCTTCCTGAAAGATGACACAGTATGAGAGCCGGAAGTTCACATTGAGAGTTTGTTGGTGGATACTTGTTAGAGTTTTAGCCATGCGATGGTGTCTCCGCATTTTGTTTCTCATGTTCACGAGGCTTTTATCGCTTTTGTTACGTCGGTGTTTTACGCCTCCATCGACACTATTTGAATCATTTAAAAGGCGGTCTTCGACTCTGTCAATACCAGTCTAGGCTGAGATAGATACAACATCAAAGCAGAACGACCTTGATACTTGATAATAATTCTCTTCAACGAAAACAAACTGAGATATTCTGCGTACAGTTGCGAAGCATCTAACCGCATCACCTCAGATGCTGATGATTTTTATCTTTGATCTTTGGAAAATAAACACTGTTTGTTTTGGTACCTTACAAAGTTTGAAGAGTCCCACAACAGATGTCTGATGTATGTGCTTTCGCTATAAAGTGTTACTCCATGTAGTGCTCAAGACCTCCAACAAGATTTGTTAGTACGGCTTGGTTTTGAGGTAGGGTTGTGCGCTTCGCTGTCGCAAACAGGAGACCCAAGTTCGATTCCACAGCCGAGAGAAAATTTTGTCGAGTTACGGTCTTTCTGCTGGGGTGTTTTATCTCTCTCAGACGGAGGTGGGCCCTGACAGGTAGTGCTGGGCCGCGAGGTTCCCGGTTATTGGAAGCTAGGAATCATAGGAATCGACTCCGAACCCAATTACTTACTTTCCAATGATGGGATTTCTTCCTGTGATTACCTGGTAGCTCCGAACATCTTTGGGATTTAGGATAACCTTAATTTCGGAACACTACGAAGCATCAATTTGTACTTTTCCGAAATAAA